TTTTTGTTGACCTTTGTCCATGGAAGGTCCCTGCAAAATTTCATTGAAATTGGTTCAGGGGTTTTGGAGAAGAAGTCGAAAATGTAAATTGTTTACGGACGCACGACGGACGACGACGGACAAAAGGCGATCGCAATAGGTCACTTGAGACTTTGTCTCAGGTGACCTAAAAAGTAGACTCTTCCAACATTCCTCCTATTAGAGATCCTTCTGACAGCATCACCTACGCTGAACCTACAAAAAAAGCCCAAATTCTGAACAATCAATTTCATTCGGTCTATACTTTGGAAGACAAATCCAACATCCCAAAACTTCCAGAAAGCAAATATAAATCTATGCCAGATATCAAAATTAGTGAACCAGGTGTCCTTTAGCTCCTGAAGCGACTAGAAATACACAAGGCATCTGGTCCTGATAGCATTCCATCCAGAATACTAAAAGAGCTTGCTGCAGAAGTTAAACAAGCACTGACAAAACTCTTCCAAATATCATTAGACTCTGGATCAGTCCCGCAAGATTGGCGCCGTCTCTAAAAAAGGTGACAAACAACGAAGCTGCAGAAAATCATCGTCCTGTTTCTTTAACTTGTATCACCTGTAAATTACTAGAACACATCATTCATAGCAATCTCATGGATCACTTAGACCTCAACAATATACTCATCAAATTTCAACACGGCTTTCGATCCAAACACTCTACGGAAACACAACTAATTCTAACGGTAGATGACATCCTTAGGAACATAAACAACAAATCACAAACAGGCATTGCCCTATTAGACTTTTCTAAAGATTTCGATAAGGTCCCTCATGAACGTCTTCTTTCTAAACTACACTTCTTTGGCATTTGAAACAGTACAAATTCCTGGATAAGATCATTCCTAAACAACAGAGACCAACTTGTTTTAATAATGGGACCAAATCTGACAAGGCCCCTGTCCTTTCTGGGGTACCCCAGGGGACGGTCATTGGGCCACTGTTATTCCTCGTTTACATAAACGACTTGGTACAGTCAGTCTCCTGCAGGGTCAAACAACTCCAGGCAGACCTTGCTTGGCTAGAACAATGGGAGACTGACTGGCAAATGAACTTCAATGCCAGCAAATGTTGTATAATCAAAGTAACCAAAAATAAAGTCCCAGTTAAGTTCGATTACCAGCTTCATAACACGCTGCTGGATAACCTACCAGCTAGCAAGTACTTGGGTGTTACTATAACGGATGACTTCAGTTGGGGTAAACACATCCACCCCACTGTAAGTAAGGCAAAACACTGGGCTTCCTGAGATGCAATATGTCATCATGCTCCAAAAAAGTCAAATCACAAACGTATACCACTCTAGTGAGACCGACTATCGAGTATGCCTCTACATGTTGGGACCCATACACCACAGAAAACATCAGTACATCAGTACAAGAACTATCAGTACATGGAATTCTCTACCCAGTCACCTGACTTGAACCATTTCAAATCAGCTCTGCCTGCTGATCATCCTAAAAAAACTCTATATTAACTCTTATAATTATCATGCATGTATATAGTTTTATCTTATCATACAATAACCAAAAACATTAATGCCACCTCCAAGGACACCTAAAATGTTGGCAACTGCACTCATATCTATGAGATCTGCCGCAGTAAATGGAAGAAGAAGTATTTATCTGAAATAGGTGAAAATAATGTCGAAATTGGAGAGGGAAACTGGCCCATATTCGGCCGACCTGTTTATATCCATGATACTAAACTTTGACTTGAGTAAAAGGCTTTATATAAGTTGGACAACGTGTGCCGAATCCAAATTGTAAAACAGTTCTATGCCAAAAAAATGTTAAAATCAAAAACTGAACTTATATAAATTCTTCAAAATATAGCTTCAAGTAAATTTAAAACGCTTACCGCTGAATGGCCAGCGACTCTGCAAGTGAAATAGATCTACTGGAAGTTTTCATGTTCTTGGTAATATGGTGAAATTCTAACAGTTAGATATAGAACCCAGTCACGGTCCCTCGACGCAACAAGGGATGAAACCAATAACAGTTTGACGTTTCGTAAGGCCGCTTACATAAAACAGGAAGCGGAAGTGCAGGTGCCCGATATTGTTGTTTACCAGGGGCCTGTTCGTTTATGTGGAATAACCGGTTTGTCCGTTTGTAAATGTAATAATTTCGGATATAAATGTTGGCGAACCTGCACATGTTTATGCAGGCCTTACAATGCTTTGCCAAGGTTCGCCTGAAAGTAGCTTCAGATTACTAGGTCCGACCTGATTAGCTTCAGATTACTAGGTCCGACCTTATTTAATAAACGAAGAACTGCGGTCCGACCGGTTCAACCGTTTAAACGAAAACAGCCCTGGCCACTAGCCTCTATCTATCTATCTACATTGTATCTCTAGTATTTTAGTATCTATCTAGATGTAATTCACCCAAAATATATTATTACAGTATTGACAGACGAGGCCAGTACCTGTGACCAGGCAAACATTAAGTCAAACAAGATGACAACTTATATTTACTAAATAATTCGATACGACAGACATATGACTTAGATCTATGTTATTTCAGTACGACATATATGTGGTCTACTCACCCCACATAATTTCTTCGCATTTCACATGTCTGCTTGAAGGTTAGCTCCGGCATTGTGAACAACACTAGTCGTGGCGTAGATTATAGAAGACTGTCTACCTGCCAGGTGCCCGGGCATCTTTCAAATATATTCATGATTGACCATCGATATCTTTACTATGCCTACCTCAGGAGAGCTCATATGGCACACGTGACGTCACTGACACATATTCTGTTAACACTAGACTCTAATGCATCGCGCAAATTTATGGAAGCCGGTTAGGGCCAAATTACAAATTTCGTGAAAACACGACGTCGAGAGAAAACCCCAGTTTGATCAAGCGTGAGATTCAGACCACTCGCTCTCCGGCTAAGTAGTTCGGTTCGACAGGGACATTTAGTGAAGTGTCCCTGGGTTCGATAATAATAATCTTTGTTTAACGTCATGTACAATTGTCAACAACAAACATAAGCTCTGTAGAGGCGGTGACGGAAAAAAAGAGAGGGATGTCTGATTGGGTTAGTTGTTATATATCCCTCCGATGGCACGGTGGTTTTTCCACCTCGGGTTTTCCTCCACCACAAAAACATAATTTGTTCCCTCAGCGTCGCCGTAATAAAAGCTTATGTTTGTTGTTGACAATTGTACACGATTGTAGAGATTATTATTATTTATATATAGCTGTTGCAGAGACGTATAATAATATATACGTCTCTGGCTGTAGCAAATGACCTACAGTCAATTTAGATTCATATCGCCCAAGAAAAAACCTTTACACATCGCCCTAGAAAAACCTTTACCACGGACTTAGGTCTAATTCCGTGATGATATTTAAATGTGTTTGGTCTTTCATAATAATATCTGGACATATATGGTTTTGCCTACTATTGAGAATTGGTTGATGTGTACATGTAAACAGATAATGAAATTCGTCGCCAATTTCTCTTAAAATAACATAAACTACATAATCTATTTTCACGTGGTATATTGAACCACCTACCACTTTCAATTGGTAACTTAGTATTACATGTTCTAAACTTACAATACGCTTTGGCTATTTTCGGAGGGAGTTCTAGTAAAAACTTTTCTAAACAAAGTTCGTATATTCTATAATTGGTTGCTTTCGGAGAAGTATAAATTTCATTTCTCCAGTTTGATATAAATTTTTCTTTTAGTTTATAAAATATGGTACTTTTTAGCCAATGTATACTTCGAAACTCTTGACTATTAAATATATGTATCAGACTGCATTCTTCAAAAATACTTTTCACATATTTTAGCCATGATGATTCATAATTTGATAAAATTACTTAATTTATTCTGGTTGTTTTTTGTCAATTTAGCCCTAAATCCGACCATTCTTACTTTGACATTAATATCTATCGGAAACCTTCCAAGTTCTCCGTATATCATAAAGTTCGGTGTAGACGTTTTAACATTAAGTATGTGTTTGCAAAATTTTAAATGTAAACGTTCGATAAGTTTATAGTTACAGAAACCCCAAACTTCACATCCATATAAAACAATAGGTTTGATGGCTTTGTCAAATACATCAAGTTGACAATCTATTGACATATTATGATTCCTACATTTGGAAATAGCACCATACATTGTTTTTAAACCTTTACCATACAGTTGTTTAATATTAAACTGTGTCAAACCAGTTTTAGTAAAATAAACCCCAAGATATTTAAAATCCTTAGCTATTCCTATAGCAGTACCGTTGTATGTAAAATTAAGGCCATCAGGAATTCTTTTTCTACCAAATACCATGATTTTAGTTTTGCTGATATTGACTTTAAGATGCGATAGGTTGGAATATTCGAAAAAAAACATCAAATTGCTTTTGCAAATCCTCTGCCGTGTCTGATAGTAGTATAGTGTCATCAGCATATAGCATAACATAAAGCTTCATATATACATGTAAATCCTCTTCTAGCTGGTCGTTTATATTAGACAGACGTTTACAGTCACAGCATAATTAATATTTTCAATGTTGTTTCTAGAAATCTACAAACTTTTTTTAAGGAGAACAGTGTTGCAAATTGGAAACATTCCTGTCATTTTCACGGTCGTCGGATAATTATAGTAATACTTAGGTATATATTTTTGCCTCAGTTCCGTGATCTGACTGTTATTACAAATAAATAAATAATGGAATTCGTCGCCAACATCGACGTTACAGAGAGGACATATTCTATTTTCCCTTGGGATACCTGTCCATCTTCCTGTTTCGATAGAGAGTTTCGAATTTGATGTCCTGAATTTAGACATTATTTCCCGATCTTTTCCCCCAAGCCGTTTCAAATATTCTTCTAAGCCAAAATCTTTCTTAAAAATAGAATAGGTACTCCCTCTGGACGATATTGTGACGTCATAATTCAATTTTTGAATAAATTGATCCTGTTACTTAGATTTAAGTGTAATTTTCAGTAGCGACTTGCTTACAGTACATGTTTCTTGAAATATCCATACATAGTTCATTCCCGAGTTACCTAGTATTTCTGTGTGAAGTGTTATTTTCAAATCCCCAAACATCTGCACCATATATTAGAATTGGCAACACTATTGAGTCAAACAACTTTAACTGGAGATCAATTGGTAAAGGAATATTTCTAATTTTTCTGCGTACTGCAAATATTGCTTTTTGAGCCTGTTGAATTAGCCGTTCTTCTGCTTTGATAAAACTGCCATTGTAATTAAAAACAAGTCCTAGGTACATAAAACTATCTTCTATGTCAGGTTCAACAAATAAAAAAGTTAACTGTGCTCTACTTTTTCGTTTAGAAAATATCATAATTTGGGTTTTCTGGGTATTAACTGAGAGCTTCCAGTTTGAACAATATAACTCATGTTCATGTTCATTTTTTTCCCCCAAAAGTTTACAACTTATAGGTACCGGATGTTACTACAACCATACATATTCAATACATGCTTACCAGGGCGGCAGTTTGTATGTGTAAACAAATAAGTGGCATGTATTTTGAATGAATGATATACTAGTTATAAAATAAGTAACATGTATTTGAATGAATGTACATCATCAGTGATATACTAGTTAAAGAAAAAATAATAAATATAATGTATTGAAGGAGAACGCATTGTTGTTAGTTCATACATTTAAATTTGTTTTCAGATTCGCTCTCAACATAAATGATTTGTGCAGAAACTTTCCAAATTTTCATAATTCAGATGTATTGCTAGAGTTCATAAGACTGATGAATTTAAACATGCTGGGTTTCGGCCAATAATATTTTTTCATGTGAATATGTCAAAGTATCTGAAAAGATGGACATTTAAGCACAAAGTGGTATTCGTCCTCAATATCTAAATTGCATCATTTACAGATTCTTAAGTTCCTTGGTACATTTATATATCTACCTTGCCCAGTTTCTAACTGGTGACTGGACATTCTGAGTTTCGTAATGACTTTTCTGTACTTGAATTGGATAGGTTTCCCCCGAGATAAATTTTCATATCAAAACTTTGTGCACATATTAGGTGTCTATACATACCACATTTGGTCGATTCAGCTTTCTGACTCCTTATTTCTTGTACACAACAATCAAAAAGAGGTAATCGTCCCAATTCAAGATATACCATATTGTTATTGGCCGATTTCTTCACTTTTAGTAATTTCTTACACAAATCTAAATGTACACGTTCAATCTCTGGAGCTTTGTGCATACACCAAATTTCACTTGCATAAAAAGGGATAATGCTTACATATGTATCGAAAAGGTGTAGCATAGTTTTTACATTTAAGTACTTTGAAAACAATGCAAACATAGCTTTTCGTCCTTGGGTAGCTAATTGTTTTTGGATAGAAGTGAATTTATTATTGTATTTTAGAATATTCCTAGGTAAGGAAATTGATCCACACATTCGACTTTACTTCCTTTGTAATACCATTTTTCATCATTATGTAATCTTCCACCTTTTCTTAAAACTACAATTTTTGTTTTTTCCGCATTTACAGTTAAATTCCATTTGTTAGAGTATTCAAAAAGGCTGTCAAGAAGAGTCTGCAGGCCCTGTAAAGATTCCGAAAAAAATACCAAATCATCTGCGTACATTAACAGAAACAAACTTAACTCACCGAAGTCGTAGGCCTAATATGTTGCACCGTTTTCAATAAAGGACATTTCAAAAGCATTGATAAAAAGTGAAAACAGTAATGGTGACAAAATGTCCCCTTGCAATAAACCGACATTGTTTTCAAAAAAGTTAGAGCATTTCCCATTAATTGAAACACAGGATTTGACTGATTTATAAAGCGACTTAATAACAGACAACCTTTTCCCTCGAATACCAAGCCTAGTCAACTTGCGCCATAAACTTTACCTGTCGACAAAATCAAACGCTTTGCGAAAGTCCACAAAGCAACAGTACAAACGTTTCTTCGAAGATAAAGTTTTCGTTATAATAGAATGTAATGCGAAAATTGCACCAATCGTACTAAGTTCTGGACGAAATCCGAATTGTGCATCAGTAATAGGGTCATATTTTGTACACACATCTAAAACACGTTTATTTAGTACAGAGGTAAAAAGTTTACAAAGACAGCTATTTAAACTAATACCTCTAAAGTTATTAGGGTCATTTAAAACACCTTTCTTATGGACAGGGATAATTATGGCTGACGACCAATTAGAAGGAAAATAACCAGATTCTAGTCTATAATTAAACAACGTAGATAAAGTTGGAAGAAGACTAAGAAGCACGGCGATTTTGATACAACCCGTACATAATGTTGCGGGCGACAAAATCTAACACAGACATAGAAGCAATTTACCCATTGTGCAGAATATTGGCAAAGCCTTCGGCAGCTGACCAGAACATTTGCTCCAATTGTTCTCAACATCTCTGCAAGTGTTCGCTTCGTATACACTCCACTTACGTCTGGCTGTCCTCGCCTACTCCTATGGTGGCTTCTACAGTCATTGAACTTGTGACGTCACAGCCGGTGAGGTCACATTACGATTACGGTACGATTATGCTAGGTAGAAGGACAGATGGTGGAAATCGTACACTTTACACGTCAACATCTCGGCATTGGGCTAGCCGATTTTGATGCGGTTTTCGGCATTTTTGTTTTTTGGATAATGAAAAATAATAACATATTCATTTTTATTTTAGTTCAAGGTACACTTTAAAAGGTCTACCTTGTTTCTATTATTTAATTATTTTAAAACAAATATTTTAGAAAATGAAATAC